CAAATATCTAACTCTAAAACATATTTGTTGTACTTTGTTTTTATTTCGAGTTTACGTGGTTATAATGGGAGTAACTATTGTCAATTGAAAGTACATCGCTGATATATCTTAATTTAGATTTGCAATTTACAACATATGTTTTTCTCCAATCTATAAAATTCTGAATACATACAGGTTCATATAAATACAAAAACAGGTACCCATGGGTACAGATCCGAGTGTTGTATGAGAGACTTACTGTCCAAAACGTGTAAAGATTTGATAGCAGCTTCAGCATACTTGTTTGGCTCATGATGCCGCTTCACTGCCATTATTTAAAAAAACTTTGATGGCTGACCATATATGATTTGAGTGATTGTCATAAATATGTATTACTTATAAAGCACGTCATTGTATGGCACCTGATTGTTTAAGAATCTCTTTTGAATTTATTAATTCTGATAATTATGTTTTACGGTCTGGCAAAATATCGTACAGTCCATTTAATAATCATTTTCTTTATTCAGGTTTCAGTTCTGGAACAAACATTTGTGTATACGGGTTTCACCAACTGTACACACATTTAATTTCATAAAATTGTTGAAAGATTTATTCATCAATGTTCTGTATATAATTTTAAGTGGAGAAAAAAAAACATTTCACGCATTCAGTAGAGGTGTGTCTGTTCCATTTAATGAAAAATCAAATGCAAACATAATAAATGTCAAAAAGTCTATTGATGGTAGGAAAATTCTAACAAATCTTGAACTTAAGGCTTATATTTTTACAAAAGTAAATATATATGCATATATATATAATGATATAAAGAAAAGGTGTGAATCTAATAAAAAAAATATTATTTTAAAACGTTGAGTCAACAAAAATAGTATTCTATGTGGAGACTTTAATTGCCCGATAAACAATATTAATAATGTAGATAAACGTGAAAATCATTTAAAAGATTTAAGAAGGCATTATAACATGGATAATATTTGGAAAAACCAAAATCCAAGTATTCCAGGTTTCACTTGGCGTGATGCAAAAAAAAATGATCCTAACAGTCGAATGCATTATGTTTTTAAAAATAATTCATTTTATTTTAGCATAGCAGATATTGAGGTAAGAGAAATTCCAGGTACCCATTCATACAGGAGTCGAATGGGTGCACATAGATACTTTAGTTTTAGTTTTGATATCGATAAAACGAAAAAAGTCCCGGATATTGGAAACATAACGTTTCCTATCTCGATAATGAAAAATACAAAAAAGGTTATTTAGACATTATTCATAGAAAAGATTACTCTTAAACCCTACAATGAAATGGGATTTAATTAAACGAAAGGTTAACGATTTCTCTATTTATTTTGCAAAAAGGAACAACAATCAGAAAAACAAAAGATAGGAGCAATATAGGACGAAATAGAAAATATGGAGGATGGAAACATTTCAAACGAAATAATAATAAAAAAAATATTTGAGATAGACGATATTGTCCATAAATCGAGTGAAGAAGATAAGATATTGCTAGAAAAATTCCAACATAGGAAGAGTGTAAGGAAGCTGTTGATAGCATGAAAAAAAATCACCTAGATTAGATGGCATTTCTAGTGAATTTTTGGACAAAATTGAGCCCTTCTTTTGTAAAGCCATGACTGATTTTTTTGATAAAGGTTAATTGCCTTACACACAGAAACCTTCTATTATATAGTGTATCACTGATTTACAAAAAGGGTGAAAAAAATAACTGTAGGTCGATAAGTTTAATAAACACAGATTACAAAATTATTCCTTTTGTCTTTGTAAAAAGGATTACAAAAGATAATACCGGTATATTAGTTAATTAACAAAAACCAAACTGCATACATAAAAGGGAGATACATCGGTAAAAATACTAGACTAGTTCATGATGATTTTGAATACCATGAAACAGAAAATTCAGACGGTACTTTACTTTTCTTACACTTTGATAAAGCCTTTGACTCGTTTGAATGGAATTTTCTTTTCCAAGTCTTACAAAACTTTAGTATTTGCAATAGTTTTATAAATCCAAGGTTAAAATGAAAAAAGAAAACCAACAGCCGGCTTTTTAAAACCAGCGAAATGATACGAGGAATTAGGCCAGGATGTCGTATTTTCGCTCTCTTTTATATACCTATTCGTCGCAGAAAAATTTTGGTTATTTAAATAAAATGTGATACTAATATAAAAGGATTACAATTAATAATCATGAAATTAAAACCATCCAACGTGCTGACGATTTGACTGTAGCTTTAATAGACGAAATATCAATGAACAAAACTGTAGATAAATTACAAGAATTTTATCAAATTTCGATGCTCTTTATGCGTTAGGTTTTTCTAATAAAAAAATGAAAAACCAGAGAAACTACCTATATTTTATCAAGAAATGGTATGTTGCTTTAATGAATGTAAGTCCTGTTTTTTTAATAAAATGTCTTCCGATAATGTTCGTCAACAGCCAATATGGGACAATTGTAATTGTTTTCAGAGGGAAATACATTATTTAAAAAAAACTGGATACTCAGTGGAATTTTAAATGTTAAAGATTTATTTGACGATGGTGGATATTTCATATCATTGTTAGATTTTCCAATTGTATAAAAAACAAGTCAAACTGGTTGTGTGAATTTCAAATTCATATTTCTGTTTTCAAACCTTTACTGCTTAAGTATGATTTGTATAATTGTAAATTTGGTAACACACGATGCAGAAATTATTTTCTTTTCTACACAGGATCTATTGATATCATACATCAAAGATGTAACTTTTTCTATGACAATCCTGTACAGAGAAAATTTTGTAAACCATGTTATCAAACAGTTTTAAGCAAAGAATTTAGTTTTGAACACTCATAATGTAAAAAATACATATATCAATGTAAATTATATGACATACCCCTTAAACAACTTACAGAATTCACCTATAAACCTTTAAACAATATTTTTTGTAACAATTTCTATCTCAGTAAATGGAAAAAAGAAACGAGTAGTCATTGCAAATTATGCCACATAAATGAAACTTCAAAACATCTCATTTTTGAATGTAGAAATGTTATTGAATGTTACAGAATAAGTTTGTACTTGAAAATATATATCAAATGGAAACATAATAATTGGATTTAGCTCTGAGTGCAATAGAAAAATTGTATCACTCAACGCATTCATCTCTTATGTTTCCTATAGAATATACAAATAAAAATGTACTGTAGAATAAATTGCTTAGATGAAACTAGTAATAACATTTTCAATCACGTTAAATATTCAATATTTTTCTATGCTCCTAGTCTGAAAAATTTGAACCCACTTGAATACAAACTTTTTAAAAAAAATTGCATAAAATATTACTGTGTCAATTGTCTTAAAGTAATATTTTAATATTCTTTGTAAATTACATTTTGGACCCGAGAACCAGACTGTCTGTCTGAGGCCGTTAGACCGAATTCAGACAGTTTGATCCAAGAGGCGACAAAACGCATTTTAATGAGTACTTTCATAAAGCAACCTTGACCTATTGTCCTTGGGATGTCTAAAGTTGTGAAAAAAACTTTAAACATGGCAATAACATTTGAATGGTAAGGACAAGGGTATTCATATTTAACATATATAATCCTTGAAAGAAGATCCTTCAATGGATACTAAAAATCCTTAAACCTTGGAGTTTGACCTACTTTTAAAATGCAACCTTGAGTATAATTAGGGTTAAGAATAGCAATATCATACTTCATCCTTGTGACAAGACCTGTCAATAGATATTAAGAATGTTGATATTTTGACTTTAAATTTGGAGTTTGACTCTATTTTTACACAAAAATCAAAACTTTTACTTTGGTTCTAATATTTAAACGACAGCGCGGTAGATACTAGTAATTCTATATTGCAAATATCTATTCTTTGTGGCAAGACCTTTTATTTTTGAAACCAACAAATTTGACCTTGGACATTTACAATCCTACGAAAAAACTGTAACCTTGGTCATAACTTTTGAACTGTACTACAGAACTTTCATACTTCCCACATGTAATCTTAAAGATAAGGTCTTTCTACAGAAACCGACAACTATGACCCTCTGACCTGGACCCCGGAGTTTTTCATACTTTTGAAAACGTAAACCTTGATCGGAATAAGTTTATTTTTGACCGGGTTAGGTTAGAATATTAAACATAAATTGATGGCTCCACAAAAAAATACCCCACTATACATAATGTATAGTGGGGTATATTTTTGTGGAGCGATTATTTTGGGGTTTTGACGATTTGTTCCTATTACAAACATGTTGAATAAGACTTAGTGTACTAAATATAAATTGTGAAAAAAATGTCAAATATGCCCTGGGGTTGCATATCGGGGGGGAGGGGAGGGAGGGGGGATCCTGTCCACAAGCACCTGTGATTTTTGCGTAGATCCTTGTTGTGAATAATTCAAAACAAAGTGAAAAAGATAACTGAAGAATTTTTTTCAGTTTTGACATTACAATTGGATCAATGCTCTTTACGAATAAATGTTCATTGACTACAATTATGAAAACTTGGTCTTTTCATAGGATACAAAAATAATTTATTAGCGAAAATAAGTTGCAATGAAACTTATTAAACTTTTTTCCTTCAACAATAATTTTCATGGCAATTCAAATTAATTGTTGATTTAAATTAGTTATATTTTGGACAATAGATAACATAGTCACCGCTTTATCTCATACATTTTCAAAGGGTGGTATTTTTATTAAAACTTCTTAACTTTTCTTGAATAATCTTCCATAATCTGACATGAATTTATTTTGTTCCCTCTATCGATCAGTTTTGAAAAAGGTTGAATTAAAGTTATATTTTAAAACACCTTTGCACGTACCCACTCTAATAAAAATGTAGATACCGAAAGTTCTTAAAAAGCATCAACTTTATGAGGTAATTCAACAAATTAAAGAATTAATGTTTTACAAAATCTTTTGACAACATAGTTTTTTACTATAAAACGTTAAAAAAGTAAATAAAGCATGTAGTCTTACCGTTATATCACAGGTTTTACCGCAGAAAACGCCTAATTTGGACAACCAATATATTGCAGAATTAACAATGCGTTTGCTGACCAAGCAGATGAAAATTCTACTGACTGCTATTAAAGCGGCAAGAAAGAGCATGGGCAAAGATGAGTGATTATCTATAAACAAATATTCTTCAGATTGGGAGACTGCAAGAAATCACATATTCAAAGATAAAAGAAGATAACGAACAATATGAGTTCAAAAGTTCATTCAAGAAGGATATGAAGACAACGAACAATCTCAAAATCCATAAAACAATACAAAATAGGTTTCTCTTAAACAGCAGAGTTAAGATCATAAGCATGAAGACGTGAGTCTGCCCTTTAACTAAGAAATTGTTGGTATGCAGATCATGTTCGTGCGTTTCGAATTGAATGAGAGTAAGTACTTTACTACACGCATGAAGAATTCACACTTGGATGGTTTTAACTTTTAATGATGTTTGTCAAATTTCTAAAAAAAAAATCCCTCTAATCCTTTAAGATGTTCATCAAAAGACTGAGAAAACACTAAAATGTCATCTAAAATATGAGACATTCCCTCAAATGTGAATCACTCATACAGGTTTTCATTAAACGTTGGAAGGTGGCTGGGGTATCGGTAAGGCCAAATGCCATCCGATTGCATTCATAAAACCCTAAAGGCCCCAACGAAAAAGATGTTTTTTGCTTATCCTCTTCCTTAATCTTAACCTGCCAGTATCCTGATCTTGAATCGAGTTTGGTAAAGTATTTACTCCCAAAACGTATCAATATTCTATTAATACTCTAGACTTACCAAACCGTGACCTCTACAAAAGCCTCTGCCCGTATTAAAACCTCTTTTTTTCTCTGTATGGACTAAGTGGACTATTAGAAGATGTGTCTCTATTTTGTTGAGCCTTTGAATTACTCAATCTCCCAGCAATATCTTGATAGCTGGATGTCTGAGAGTTCATACTATGTTTTAACCTTTCCATCTTTGAAATCAAGACTCTAAGTTCCTTCTTCATGTCTTCTTGACTCTCTATCACTTCTGCTCTCTCCGCATGAACTGCTGCTGACTTGGATTTAGATTGCCGAGTATTTGCATGAGCTTACTTCTGCTGCACTTTCCGGATTTCCCTAAGAGGATTTTGAAAATCTTTAATAGAGTCATTCAAATGTCTGGTTGAATTTTTCAATGACTGACTAGCTAAACCTGTCCAGAATTTGTTTCTTAACACGACATCTGTAGCTTTTCCATCTGTAATGAGTTCTTTTGGATTTTGTGTGAGTCTGGAAGAAATCGAAACACTGTAGAATCAATTTAACAAAAAAGAATATTTTACAGAACAAAGAAATGAATAAACAAACAAAAAAACAACACAAAAACATTACATTCACCACTCTCGCAAATGCTCACAAAGAGAAAGAAAAACAATATTATAACTTTACAAAGAATAAACTGACACGTTAACAAACAATGAACTTAAAATTGCGTGCCAGAAATAAATATCAAACAAAACTTGTTTAATGTAAACAGTAACTTTCTTTTATAAGATTATTACTTCAAGTTGCTTCAAAAAGTTCAAAATAGAATTTATATTTTCCCATACTCTTTACTTTAATGTAACTTTAGAAATGTTTTCTGAATTAACCAAATTGGGAGTTTGTCTGACAACTGTTCCTATTTCAACACTATCGGCACCACTGGGCCTCCATACACCGCTGGGTCGACACCACGTTATTGACCGTCTAGACCGCTGGACTCACAGGTCTTCCTCTCAAAACGTCTCTACCTACATCTATCCCTCCGTTAGACGGGCGTTCTGTTGTTCTCACAAGTCTTTGTGGACGTAGTACACGTATATCCTGTGTACGCCCCTTCTGACCAAACTGACCACTCGACCACTCACATCTGCCGTCCTAAGCCCCTAGTGTACTCTATGCCGTATGCACTAAAATACATTAAACGACTTTTCTAGAATACTATCAAATAACAAAGTATAAACACCTACATAACACAAAACAAGATACAGACAAAAAGTAACAAACTCCTATAAATATTAGCGAAAACATGCTTACCGGCTGGAGAAAAACAGAAATGACCACACACAGAAATTGACCGTTCCCTGGCTACCGGTTCCAGACTTATTTCTAGAATTCACCAATTTTAAGAACGTCCATGGTGACCAAAACTGTAGACGTGTCGTGGCCCAACGCCCTTTGCACTGCCACGCGTCGCTTCATTCTGACCACCCAGTTTTCTAAATTTAACTAATATACACACCCTCAAAAGTACGGAAACGCGTAACCACCAAAACTTACCAGGAAAACACAAAATCAAACATAATATTAACTAAACAAAAGTCAACTTCATCACAATGTCACATACAACATGCCAGAAACGGAGGCAAAGTCCAGATCGGAAATTTTGCTATCGACGGATACCAGGAAGCGACTCGTACCGTCTACGAATTTTACGGGTGTTAATGGCGCTGCGGGACCAAGAACTTGAAAAAACATCATGAAATGGTCATAATTCTCAAAACCTGTGTAATATTTCACCATTTTATCATTACTCTGCAATTTTTCAATAGATAACCTGTTGTTTTTCCCAATGTCACATTAAACTGATAGATCTTGCAGCTTTTTTCATCACTTTTAGGCCTATAACATTCTGAATCACAATCTACACTAACTTCTGATTCCACCACCACTTCATTCACAACAAATTCACTACTGGGAACATTTTCATTCACCACACATTCACTACTTAAAACATTTTCACTCTGATCTGTATCACACTTGACTCTTTTACTGTATCTTTGCTCTCTTGTGCTAGGTAACTCATTCTTACACGCAAAGGGAAAAACAGAAGGAACAGCTTCTGGTTTCAGTCTCTTTCTTTCCCCTTAAAATAAATGAAACTCGTCTGAAGCTTACTTTCAAATTTACGTTTTCTCTTTATTTAATCATATGGGTATAAAAACAATACTGTCAGATGTTTGTGTAAGTGGTAAATCGAGAACCGCCAGGGTATTAAAACAGTTACTGTAGTTGTAGGTTAACGTTAGGCTATGACTAGCATGCTGAACATCGCGCTGCGATAACTACCATCGTCTAAAAACGATAATGTTGAACTAAGAATTATTTTCAAACTTAAAACCGTAGTAATTAGATCAACAATAAGATTACGATAACCGACTAACCAAGTAATGTTGACTGAATGTAATCATCGGATGTGAAGTGATCGCCACACACACGGTCGTGAGCAGCTGGCTCCCATAACTTTCGTGTTTTCACGTCCAATCTTCGAATTGCGACTCGCCATTTTAATTTAAGATCGGGATTCGAAGGGAACAGATGACCACCTATCTTATTTTTACACATAGGTACACAGCAATATACTGGCATATTGACGATTTTTCGCAAACGCGGTTTCTAACTTGATAAAGTAAACAATATGGCGACGGATCTATACCTCATAGTACACAAGCGCCATCTGGGGGAGATAACTCTTCTTGGTGGACCTTATTGATGCTGCATATGTATTAAAAAATACCATTGATTTTAATATTGCAAAAGGTAAAAAAAACTTTTTTGTGCTTTCGTAGATTTTCGCAGAACATTTGATACGGTGGATAGAAATGCATTGTTGTACAAATTATTAAAGCTAGGTATTGATGGTAAAATGTTAAGAATTATTAAAGCTATGTATGAGGATGTGAAAAGTTGTGTTCGGGTAAATGGCTCCCTCGCAAATTTTTTTGATAATGAACTAGGTGTTTTACAAGGGGACATTTTATCCCCTATATTATTTTCATTATTTTTGGAAGATCTTGAGACAACTCTACGTGAAAACTAAGCATGTGGCATTCAAATTGACCAAGTAAATATCTTTTTACTATTGTTCGCGGACGATCTAGCTATAATAAGCGAAACACCCAATGGGCTACAAAACCACCTTAACAGCCTATACACATATTGTCAAAAGTGGGGTCTTTGTGTTAATGTAGATAAAACGAAAGTAATGATTTTTCAAAAAGGGCAGACAAAAAAAGGATATAGATTTACTTATAGTGGTAATACACTTGAAATTGTAGACAGTTTTGCATATCTTGGATTGTTGTTTTCGTCAAATGGACTTTTTAACAAACATGTAAAAATAACAGCAGAAAAAACACTGCAATTATATAATGCATTCATGAGTAATGTTCAAAAATTGTCTCTAGACTGTAAAACAGTGTGTGAACTTTTTAACGTTGCATGTGTTTCAAAAATGAATTATGGGGCAGAAGTGTGGGGATTCATACCAGCAAAAGAATTAGAAAGAATACAATTAAAATTTGGTAAAAGACTACTGAGAGTTAAAACTTCAACATGCACCCCGGCTGTTTATGGTGAATTAGGAAGAAAACCGTTAATACTAACTAGAACATTTCACATTATTAAATATTGGTTTAAAATTCTCAGATCAGAAAACTGTCTAATAAGATCAATTTATAATTATGATTTAAAGAATATGGCTACAAATTGGATTATTTTTGTGAGAGAGACACTTTTGTCCCATGGCTTTGGAGAGGTGTGGTATTTCCCTGAATCTGTAAATGAAAATGTTTTTTATATGTACTTCGGACAAAGACAAACTGATTGTTTTTTCCAAAAACTTAGAGTAGACATAGAAAACGCTCATCCTCTAAAATTGTTTAAATATCTAAACCCGTCTATACAACAGGCTGAATATCTCAATTGTATATATTATGAAAAACACAGAAAAGCATTAACTAGACTCAGATTATCTTCTCATTGTCTACGCATTGAATCTGGTAGATATAAAAAATGTCCAACAAGTGAAAGGAAATTCATATTTTGTACATCGAACGAAATAGAAGACGAATACCATTTTGTTTTAATATGTAACTTTTATACTGAGTTAAGAGAAAAATATATTAAAAAATATTATTATGCAAGACCTGGTATGGCAAAATTTATTGAATTACTTAATTCCAATTCTGAAAGTATACTTAAAAAACTTGGGAAATTTGTGT